AGAAGCGTCGAGTAACTCCGGAATTCCAAGTAATTCCAAGTTATTCCCGGTAATTCCTAGGAATTCCACTTGGAAGGATTTTCGGGAATTCCGTCGTAGAAGAAGTTCTGTTGTTCGGAACACTGTCATGCATCAATAGATGCTTCAAGTCATTCCGGAATTCCGAGTTATTCCCGAGAATTCCGAGGAATTCCGTCATACAAGAAGTTGTGTAGTTTTGATCATTGTCATGTATCAATAGTAGCTTCAATCAATTCCGGAATTCCTAGTAATTCGTAGTTATTGACGGTAATTCCCATCAATTGCCCGTGGAAGGAATTCCGGGAATTCCGTCGTAGAACAAACTGTATAGGACTGATCAATGTCATGTATCAACAGAAGCTTCAAGTAACTCCGGAATTCCTAGTAATTCTTAGTTATTCCCGGGAATTCTCACGAATTCCGCTTGGAACGACTTCCGGGAATTCCGTCATAGAAGAAGTTTTGCAAGACTGATCACTGTCAAAGTATCAACAGATGCTTAAAGTCATTCCGGAATTCCTATTTATTCCGGGGAAATCCGAGGAATTCCGCTCGGAAGATATTCCGGGAATTCTGTCATGTGGAAGTTGTGTAGTTTTGTGTAGTTCAATAGTAGGTAAAGGTCATTCCGGAATTCCTAGTTATTCCAGGGAATTCCGAAAAATTCCACGTGGAATTCACTCCGGGTACTCCGTCATGGAACAAGCTGTATAGTATTGATCACTGCCATGTATCAATAGAACCTTCAAGTAATTCCGGAATTCCTAGTAACACATAGTTATTCCCGGCAATTCCGAGGAATTCCGCGTGGAAGGAATTCCGGGAATTCCGTCGTAGAAGTGGTTGTATAGTATTGAGAGAGAGTTCCCCGAAATTCCATCCACGCGCAATGCCACGGAATTCTCGGGATTAACTTGCAATTACCAGGAATTCCGGAATTCCTTGAACCATCTGTTGATACATGACAGTGATCAAAACTATACAACTTCTTCTACTACGGAATTCCCGGGAATTACTATGAATTACTAGGAGTTCCGGAATTATTTGAAGCATCTGTTGATACATGAGAGTGATCAATGCTATACAACTTCTAACACGGAATACGCGGAATTCCGTCCACGCGCAATTCCTCGGAGTTCCCGGGAATAACTAGGAATTACTAGGAGTTACTTCAAGCTTCTGTTGATACATGACAGTGATCAATACTATACAGCTTCTTCTACGACGTAATTTCCCGAATTTCTTCCAGGCGGAATTGAACGGGAATAACTGGGAATTACGAGGAATTCGGGAATAACTTGAAGCAGCTATTGATACATGATAGTGATCAACACTATACAACTTCTTCCATGACGGAATTCCTCGGAATTACCGGGAATAACTAGAAATTACTAGGAATTCCGGAGTTCTATGACCGAATTCCGGGAATAAGTAGGAATTGCTAGGAGTAACAAGGAATTCCGGAATGACTTGAAGCATCCGTTGATACATGACAGTGATCAAAACTACACAACTTCGTCTATGACGGAATTCATTACACGCGAAATTACTTCCACGCGGAATTCCTCGGAATTATTGGGAATGACTAGAAATTACTAGGAATTCCGTAGTTACTTCAAGCTTCTGTTGATACATGACAGTGATGAATACTATACAGCTTCTTCTATGACGGAAGTCCCGGAATTTCTTCCACGCCGAATTCCTCGGAAATCCCGGGAATAAATAGGAATTACTAGGAATTCCGGAATTACTTGAAGCATCTATTGTTACACAACAGGGATCAAAACAACACAACTTCTTCAATGACGGAATTCCCGGAATGATTTCCAAGCCGAATTCCTCGGAATTCCCGGGAATAACTAGGAATTACGAGGAATTCCGGAATTACTTGAAGCATCTATTGTTACATGACAGTTATCAAAACTACACAACTGCTTCTATGACGGAAGTCCCGGAATTTCTTCCACTCGGAATTCCTCGGAATTCCCGGGAATAACTAGGAATTACTAGGAATTCCGGAATTACTTGAAGCTTCTATTGATAAACAACACGGATCAAAACAACACAACTTCTTCAGTGACGGAATTCCCGGAATTACTTCCAAACCGAATTCCTGGAAATTCCCGGGAATAACTACGAATTACGAGTAATTCCGGAATTACTTGAGGCTTCTATTGTTACATGACAGGGATCAAAAGAACACAGCTTCTTCAATGGCGGAATTCGCGGAATTCCTTCCAAGCCGAATTCCTGGGAATAACTACGAATTACGGGGAATTCCGGAATTACTTGAACCTTCTATTGTTACATTACAGTGATCAAAACTACACGACTTCTTCAATGACGGTTTTCCCGGAATTCCTTCCAAGCGGAGTTCATGGGAATTCCCGGGAATAACTAGGCATTACGAGGAATTCCGGAAATCTTTGAAGCAGCTATTTATACATGACAGTGATCAATACTATGCAACCTCTTCTATGACGGAATTCCCAGAATTCCTTCCACGCGGAGTTCATCGGAATTACCAGGAATAACTAGGAATTACTAGACATTCCAGAGTTACTTCAAGGTTCTACTTCAAAACTATACAGCTTCTTCTATGACGTAATTCCGGAATTCCTAATTATTCCTGGAAATTCCGAGGAATTTACGCGTGGATGGAATTCCGGGAATTCCGTCATATATGAAGCTGTACAGTACTGATCACTGTCATGTATCAATAGAGGGTTCAACTAATTCCGGAATTCCTAGTAATTCCTAGGTATTCGCCGGAGTTCCGAGAAAATTCTGCGTGTAATGAATTCCGGGAATTCCGTCATAGAAGAAGTTCTATAGTTTTGATTCTGTTTAATTTTTTTCAGAAAATTAAGTTTTTTCAATTGTCGAGTCCCATAACTTTGCAACGACAGGACGTATCGAGTGGAAAATTTTATTATTCAGCAAGGCTGACAAATAATTCTCTAGGCGATTATTATAACAAATACCGAAAGGAAAAATTATTAAATCAAATTAAAGGAGAAGAACAAGTTTTACAATTAAACACAGATCAATTAATTCCTAGTTATTCGCCTGCATTCCGGGGAATCCGGCGTGGAAGGAATTGCGGAAATTCCGTCATAGAAAAAGCTGTATGGTATTTATCACTGTTGTGTATCAATAGATGCTTCAAGTAATTCCCGAATAGTAACCTAGTAATTCCTAGTGATTCCCGGAATGTCCGGGGAATTCCGCGTGGAAGGAATGCCGGGACTTCCGTCATAGATGGAGTTGTATAGTTTTGATCGCTATCATGTATCAATAGATACAAGTAATTCCGGAATTCCCGGTAATTCCTAGTTATTCGCCTGCATTCCGGGGAATCCGGCGTGGAAGGAATTGCGGAAATTCCGTCATAGAAAAAGCTGTATGGTATTTACCACTGTTGTGTATCAATAGAAGCTTCAAGTACTTGAAACAGAGAAAAATACTAAAGAAATAAGCACTGATAACATTCCAGAAATATGTTCACAAATGATCGGTGTACACTATAAAAAATTTGAAGGTTTGAAAGTGAAACCACCGATGATGAAGAGAAAAAGATAAATGAATAGTAGGGCAGAAGAGCGTAAGGTACTACTGCTAAGTTTTATTGAAGAAGAATATTAATGTACTTTGGCAACTGACCCAAACCCAAGTCTCAGACTTGGGTACCCAAACCCAAACCCAATACACCCAAGTCGCTTGGGTTTGGGCTTGGGTTTATAACATACTTAATCACTGTCATGTATCAATAGAAGCTTCAGGTAATTCCGGAATTCCTAGTTCTTCCCTATAGTTCCGAGGAATTCCGCGTGGATGGAATTCCGGGAAATCCGTCAGACAAGAAGCTGTATAGGATTTATCATAGTCATGTCTCAATAGATGCTTCAAGTAATTCCGGAAATCCTCGTAATTCCTAGTTATTCCCGGGAATTCCGAGGAATTCCGCGTGGAAGGAATTCCGGGAATTCCGTGATAGAAGAAGCTGTATAGTATTGATCACTGTCATGTATCAATAGATGCTTCAAGTAATTCCGGAATTCCTCGTAATTCCTGGTTATTCCGAAGAATTCCGAGGAATTCCTCGTGGGAAGAATTCGGGGAATTCCGTCATAGAAGAAGTTGTATAGTTTTGATCACTGTCATATATCAATAGATGCTTCAAGTCATTCCGGAATTCCTAGTCATTCCCGGGAATTCCGAGGAATTCTGAGTGGAAGGAAGTCCGGGAATTCCGAGGAATTCCGCGTGGAAGCAGGAATTCTTGGGATTTGGTCATAGAATAAGCTGTATAGTATTGATCACTGTGATGTATCAATAGATGCTTCAAGTAATTGCGGAATTCCTGATAATTCCTAGTTATTCGCAGGAATTCCGGGAATGCCGCCTCAGTATAAGGTTATATGCCATTGCGCACTGTAGTACATCGGTAGATACTACAAGTAGTTCCGGAATTCCTAGTAATTCCTAGTAATGCCGGATGTAAGGGATTCCAGGAATTCCACGTTATAATAGATGCTGGAAGTGATTCCGGAATTCCTAGTTACTGATTCCCGGAGGGAACTGATTCCGCGATGTTCAACATTGCGGAATAGGATGACTGCTCACCGTTGGCTGGATAAGCCGAATATCTTCCATGAGACTTGTGTTTCGAGCCATTGGTCCCTAATTTTCCTGGTATCCATCGCTTTATATCCGATTTCTATCACTTTCGTATCCCAAACCTGTTGAACCAACCCTAGCACTACTCTATATTTTGCTTTGTTGTTCAAAAAATGACATTCTAAGTTTTGTTCTTCATGTCAGTAGAAAATATTCGAGTTGAAAGGTGTGCCTCACATTTCTCAGTTGCTGAAGAAACAGAGAAATGCACGTATAGTTTTACGTGCGGATTCAAAAGCCACACTTTGTATAGAATTACAAAACACGTGAAAGAATTAGAGTGAGACATAATGTAGTCATCAATCTGTTTTTTGTTTTCGTCGTCGTTTGCAACATTTCAATGTTATGTAGATTATAACTATTCCAGGTAAGACAGTGAATATGAATAGTATATCGAGCATATATCGTTGGTAGAACGATAGTGTGCTTTGAAATGGTGCAAAGCGATCGAGATCCCCGTGTAGATTCACAAAGAATTCAATTTCTTCTACTGCTCGTTTCAAGCCACCTGCGTGTTTCATTTCTAGCGACATGAGCTGAGCTGCTTTTTCATATTTTGCATCGCTCCACAATGTCAGTAATTTGTTTGTTACACTGCTAGCTGTAAATGTGTACTGATAAAAGTCATAGGGACGTATCAATGATTGCCACATAGAAGGTGGCACAAGCAATGATTGCCCAACGTTCAGATTCGTTATCGTAAATCCATTAGCAAATTGATCTGAAGTGAATGGCATGCACAGAATCGGTTTGGTAAAATAGAGGGCTTCTAAACATGAACCCATGCCACAATGACTTAGAAACACTTTGACTGAGTCTTGTTGTAATATCCATTTTTGATTGACAAATCCGTTTTCGATTCGTACTCGTTTATCATCGTTTAGGACATCTCTCAATTCGACATCGACCAAATCTTTCAATACTGTTTGGTACATAAGATAATTCGCACTGAGAAATCCTAACACTAGAGAACTACCATTTGTTTGCAATAAAAACGTGGCGAGACCGCTAATTAAATTATACATTCGTTCGTGTAAGATCAGAGAACTACTACCAAACGCTCCATAAAGAATAGAACTAAACGGTTTCGCTTTGATCCATCTTGTAAGATCATTGTCAACATTTTTTACCAGTGTTTCATTTACAAATGCTCCAAGATATTTTGTATGATGATATGAATACGATGGTGTAAAGAATGTAGGTGGCATACTAATTAAATTCAAACATTTTGATTGTGAAAACCGAAAATTTTGTAGAGTGAAAATATCGTAAAATGGACCAGGTATGCGTGGTATTGACTGAAAAAGCTTATAAAGTGCTGGCACCAATTTCGGCACCATTTTCGTCATGATCCGAATCGTAAAAACTACGTTGTAGATGCGTTGTCCGAATTGAGTTAAATCTTTTGATGATAATAATGCGCAGACGTTTGGCACATTGAAATCGAAAATATTAGGGAACGCCGCTGGCTGTTGCATCACACAAGGCGTGTTTGTTTTCTCGCACAAAACAGATACACCAATAACCACTCTACTTGCTACGATCACGTCAAATTGTTCGCTCATCAGAATGTGTATCGTCTTGTTTAGAACAGATATACTCATTTGACCGAATATTGGTGTTACTTGTATCAATGCATCCAACAAAGATCTATTAGCTAAATGCGACCATACTTGTTGTTCACGGTTCTTTTCCACAATCAATGCGTCAGACGAATCATTATCGTATACTACACGAAATGAAGACGAAGAATATGATTTCAAATCAATATACGATTGAGCCATTTGTTGAGTAAGAAATGTGACATTATGCTTGTTCATTGCCTTAGCTAATTCAAACAGGGGCGTCACATGGCCCGCAGCACCAATACCAATAAATAATGCATTCAAGCAAAACGATTGGGGAATAGTTGAAAGCAATATAATGAGTACTACGCAACTGTATGGCATAATATGAGTTCGAGTATGCTCTAAAAAAATGTTCTGAGTTTGTACTAAATTGCAAAACTCTTCTGTGGTTTTACATATCCTGCAGGAAATCAAAACTTCTCAAAAGTAGGTCTCAAATAGAAAAAGGAGTTTGGGTTGGTACTTATCCTAAGGATCTTTTAAAAAGTTTTTTATTCCTATCAAATTTCTTTTGTTTTCTTGAGAAACGAATCTGCTCTACGTAGAATACAGAAGAAGCAATAAGAAAAATATGCGTTTACACGAAAGTAATGGTGGAGAAGATGAGTGTTTTAATCAACATCTGATTATTCTTTTCACCTATTGTATAGCTGTATGCCCGAACGGTGCACACGAACAGTACGTTCGCAAAGAACATGATAACCCATGCTTTAAAAATGACCTCACCTCTTTCACTAATGCGATGGTAAACAGAAAACAAATAGTGTTACCAAAAAGGTAAATATTAAGATGTATTTTTCTCTCTTACTTGATTGTCCTTGATAACTGACCAAAGTCAACCACTAAAAAAACGATTTCTCGTAGTCAAATCTACTGGAGAAAACCGATATCGGATCTAGAGATGTACGAGATTAGTTCCGCTCCTAATTCAGAGCAACCAAGACCAGACTTAGAAAGTTTGGTCCCATAGATTAAAATGAATATTCACGAACGAGCCCAGGATTATGCTCCATGTCGATTATGGTCGTTCGACAAGGATTCATGTCCCCGTTGAAAAAGCGCCTGCTAGTCAGAGTAAATCGAATCTCGTCTGGATCTTTCCACTCCTGCACGATTAATAGCAATTATGAACCGCCTCTAATTGAAAGCACGGAAAATGGCTAAATGAAAAATTGCTTCAAAGAAAAACAACTGAACTGGAAGAACCGATGCTTATTTGTACCGGACACAATGGAGAAAATCTGGATTTTCGATAAGTGGAAGTTCATAACTGACTACGTTCTTGTTGTTGTGTTTTTGAAACGACAAAATAAACAGTCTTTTTTAGTGAGCAGGACTGTTTGAGTTCGTTTTTAAGAACAGAAAATGGGGACCTTCTAGAATTATTCTTCCATGTGAATACACGCCAGCACACGCTGTTGATGATGAGAATGAGAGTGATTATCTAATCACAACACATAAACGACAGATCGTATGAGGGTAATTAGCAAGACACGACTATCAAGATGTGTGTGCTTCCATTTACTTGGAAAATGTCACACGCATGCATCACCTTTTTTTCACCATGAGTCTCTCCAGTCTTCCCAAGAGCTCACAGTGGCTTCTTTTCTTGAACTCATCTTCTTTCTGAGATGTTATCCGAGTGATCGATCATCTTTCATTGTTCAAAGAAATAAACTGAATGTTTTCAATATCGTTCAATAATTTGATTAGAGATTGTTTCATTGACTTGCCACTCTTTGATCCTTTGATCGATGGGAAATCTATTCTTAAAAGAAAATACTGAATTGTATTCGAGAATAGAGAAGAGGCAAAACATTAGTGTTGATCGATCTTTGGATCTTGGTGAATAAAAGTTCGAGAGTTTTTTTGAAATCGTGACAGGGAAATAGAACATTGTTTAAGAGACTTGAATAATAATCGAAGTTAAAGAGAAAGATGTTCGATAATGAAGTGAAACGGATCTTTCTCGTCACTCTTCACTATTGCTAAGAATCTTCCAGAGAAACGTTGCTGTTTTCAAGAATTGAATTCTTCCGTTGACTTTTGCTGCCACAGAGTTCAATAAAAACGGTCGATCGAAATTGGAGACGACGAAACAATCGACAGTTTTGATGATGACCACGTCAAAGTTAACGATCCTTTCTCAATTCTTCAACAAACTTCATTTCCAATCGATGATCAAGAGAAAGAACCACCGCGTGTTTTAACTATAGCACAAATTTATCATTTGAAAATTTCAGAAGAAAAGGTCCGTATTAGTGTATTAATTGAAGCTGTAAATTTATTACCAGAACTTAATACATTAAAACTTCATTCTTTATCATTATATGAACCAAGAATGCTAAATTCTGAAGAACTTCAACAGAAGATACAAGTCTAATTACAAAAGTATATCTGGAGAAGATGAATGGAATTGAAAAATTTTCTTTTCTTTTGGAACCGTGTCCTTATGTGGCATATCTCAAAGTGGATTATATAAAAAATATGGATTTCAAATTTGTTCTATGACATATTATCAAAAAAATAAAAAGATAATTGTAATGATCATCTTCGTTTATTGTTTTTTTCGTATTCCAACAGCAGATGATGAAATGATTAAAAAATTAAAATGAATGATTCATTTTGAAAAACTTCAATTGAATTAAGATGGACGAAAATCAAAGTTGCACTGAAATTTTTTTTTTTGCTTATCATACATCATTCGATAGAGAGTTTCAAGGCGGTCAAGAATATGTGTGCCTTGAGTTTTCTCAACCCTTTTTTCCGGGTGGCTTACAATTAAACGTATTGCTGATAATATCAATTTAGAATGGAAATACTTACAAGATGTGTAGTTAGGGGTGTCACTTTACTGTTCTTTACCAAGTAATAAGTAATAAAACGTATTAGTTATTACCTGGAAACAAGTAATAAATCTTATTACTTTATTACTTATTACTTTTTTCAAGTAATAATCTTTTATTACTTTACTTATTACTGATAAGAAGAAAAGTAATAAAAAATGATGAAAAATTATTACATAAAGAAGTAATAAGTAATAAAACAACATGATTTATTACCTTTTTACCGATAATAAGTAACAAACGTTTATTACTTTTACCGGATAATGTAATAATTGGTAAAAGTAAAGTAGCACCCCCTATGTGTAGTAATAATTCTTATATAAAGTGTTTTTTTTATTAAATAAGATAAACGATCTTTGGGTTAGCAAAGTTCGTATCAAAATATGAGGTTTTATTTCTCTACATCAGTGATGAAGAAAATACATTTTTTTCAGTAAGTTTTCAACAGAATTTCCGAGTCGAGAAAAGATGATTTCACTTGAAAGTATTGATAAAGAATTTAAGCTATAGATTAGGATCATACTTTTGTCTCGGAAAATATCTGCACAATTGTGATCTGAAAGCGAGCGTTGAAATCTTATTGTTAATCTATGAGCTTGTGAAACAAAATGTGCTATTTGAGTTGGTAGTCTTAAATGCAGACATCGTCTTTAATGTCACCTTCATATTTTAAGTTTTTATTCGAACTCAACTGAATGATTATACACGAGGCTCATTTATCATTCATGTTTTACCAACCTAGAATAAAACGGTTATCTAACTTAGCTAATTAAAAACAATTATATTATATAAATATAATTAATATCAATGGAAAATTGCGCTTATTCGCAGTGTTTTACAATTGTAAAGCCGTTCAGTGCTGCTTTTATATTCGATACTGAAGAAATGAATGAAAGATGATTCATTCATATAAAGATGGGAAAATGTTAAAACATCATCACTAGATCGATTAACTAGAAAAACGCTTAACCACTCTGCTTTGTTAATCAAGATGTTGATTTTTCAACAAGAATATCATTCGACTGGGTTACATTCATTTAAATGTCTTTGATTTATGCATCAGTTTGATGTGAAAAACTTGTTCAAGGAAGTAAATCCCAAGTAAAAAATCTTGACTGCAGATCTTGATAAAAACTTGAAAGATTTCGGAAGTTTCTGTTCAGTTCTTTCAAGATCTTATGCAGATTTATCGATATCTGTCAAGATTCTGAGATCATCT